TGTTGTTGTTGTTGTTGTTGTTGTTGTTGTTGTTGTGTTGGTTGTTGTGTTGGTTGTTGTGTTGGTTGTTGTTTTACTAGCTGTATTTGTGATTTAGTTTAAAGTATCAATATCAACACTATATCCTTTGAATCAAATATTTGAAAAGAAATACTTGATTCCTTCATATAATAGAAGGACGTCAGGTATTTTATTTTGTTTAATTTCGATTACATCAACAGTTTTAAATGTCGAAAAATAATATTTCAGTTTCGAATACTTTTAAAGTTTAAAAGTTAGAAAATCATGTATATATAAAGATAAATAGTCTCATTAAATTTTCACCTTTCCGACAAATTAATTGATTGAAGAGAGAATTTGAAGAAAAAATCAAAATCAATCACTTAGTAATTTTCTATTGTTTCTGCATAAGATTTACGATTTGAAACGACTAGAATTGTTATATTCACGAGATTTATTAGCTATACATATTGAAACAAGATCATGGATATCGTGTGACGCAAAAAAAAATATATATATTTTTTCTTTTTCAGACGTATCCTTCGTGAAATTAATACATTACGAACACAACTTAAGCGTCGTAATTCACTTGATTATGCTAATGCCAATTTACCAAATGATTCGCATGCATACAGTGATACCGATGCTTGTACAACTGGTCTTTATCCATCATCATCTGGCCTTTCATCGTCCATGAATCGGCTTGAACAACGTTATACTCAAACTTTGCCACATCAGCGTACTAGTCCTCCTCATGACTCATCATCTTATCAGCACTATCAACAAACTCAATCAACACGTAGCCGTATTCATCAGATGAGACGTGCTGGTTCAACCGAAACAAATCCATATTTAGAACATGAATTACAAACATTACTATCACGTAAACATCAATTAGAATCACGTATTGATCATTTACAGCAAAGCCGTGAAGAATTGACAACACAATTAGATACACTCGGCAAAATTCTACGCTATTCACCACATACACAACGATCAACAACAGCTAGTCCACATGGTCGTTTAAGTGTTTCACCATCACGAATGGTTTATCATACAACAGGAAATACTTCGAATGCAAGAAAAATGAATTCAAATGTTTCATTTCGAAGTTATTCAACGCCACCAACACCTCTTCATGATGTATTAACACCTACTGGTAATTTTGATAATTACTTTTTAGTTCTTACGTTAGTAGAAAGAACAATAGCGATACAGTTCATAGGGTTCGATCTTGCATGCTTCAGTCTTTAGTCAGGTGAGACTGTGCAGATTGCTTTAATGATCGCACATGAATAGTCGGAAAGAAAAATTGTAGTATCAACTGGATTGGAGTCTAGAAATTCGAGAGTAGATTAGTTCAAAACAATGAAATTCAAACTCAGAAATCTATTGAATTATTTCCAAAGAAGATAAAGATTAAATTTTAAACTATTTATTTTTCAGAAACAAGTATCAATGAGCCAACATCGATCAGTAACCATACGAAATCTCTGAGAACTGATCTTCTTATAGCAGCTGATTCCTTAACATCAGCCATGTCATCTCTTGTTCAACAATTAAATACTGGTATGAAAGATATCAATTTCAGCTTGATGAATATCTTCTGTTTTTTTTTTGATTATTTTAGAAAGTTCCGAATCTCTTTCCATAATAATCGATAACAATCTTAATATAGAGCATAGAAATGGTTATAGTTCAACAAATGATAATAAAACGAATCACAGCGATGCACTACTTCCGTAAAAGATTTAAAAAAAATTCGTTTGCTGATTTGATTGTTGTTGAATTTTTAGAAAAACTTCAATAGCTACTAGTAATAATACTACCACTGCGAAGAAGAAAGATATTATTGAAAATGATAGTGGGAGCCGAACAGATGAAGAATCACTTTTAACATCTGATGATGACGACGATGAACGGCATGAAGAACGAACAACAGATGATGATCTTTTAAGAACAACCGATGACGATGATGCTGCTGGTGGAATCGCTCAAGCAATAAATTCATTTAATTTATCGTCAACAAAACGATTAGTAAGTTAACAAAATAATGATGTATTTTTACTTATTTATTTTTTACTTTAAATAGGAACTATTGACAAGCGAACAACAACAGTGATATTCTTCAATAAATTTCAATTGTGTCCTTTTTCGTTTTCGTCTAACTTCCATATTGCCAATTGTTTTTCTCAGGGATAGATATTTGAAAAAGTGTTGTTTTTTTCTTTTTGCTCATTTATTAATCTATACTTAACATTACTTTTCTGTTAAACAGATAAGCTAAAATATTCTACAAGGAATAGCCAATCATACATATATGTATATGTAGATTTTTCTTGAAGAAAAAAAATCATAAGTCTTTTTTTTTCTTGTGCAGTGGTAGCTTTTGACTAATTTCGTATTTATCTGTGTGTATATTCGTCTTTTATTCCTTTTGACGATATATTTGTATCGATTTGTTTTGTTCACTTGTTGTTTTTGTTGTCTATTTATTAATTATATGTTTTCAATTTCAAATATTTGCATCATTTAAAGAAGGAAAGAACGAAACTTAGAAATTAATAAACACCAAATATATATTCAATTAGAAATGAAACAAGCAAACGAAAAAAGTAATTAAGATAGAAAGTTCAATGTTTGAATAGCAATTAATACCACGATTTCTTGTTGTCGCTGTGACATTGCTCGTCTTCGTTGTAGTTATTGATGTCGTCGAGTTCCTACCAATAGTAGAATTCATCGGTATAGTCGATGCTGTTGTAGAATTCGTTGATGAAGTTGTGTTGGTTGACCCTAGTGTAGTTGTTGATGAATCATCCATAGCTGTTGTACTCAAAGTAGAATTCATCGGTATAGTCGATGCTGTTGTACTCAAAGTAGAATTCATCGGCATAGTCGATGCTGTTGTAGAATTCGTTGATGAAGTTGTGCTGGTTGGCCCCAGTGTAGTTGTTGTACTACTATTGTCTGTTACCATATATATTGTTGTGTTAGTGCTTCCAGTAGGTACAGTTGCGGTACTGGTACCATTATTGATTAATGAGGTTATTGTTGTAGTGCCATTGTTAAATACATTAGCCGTTGTGGTGTTTGCATTATCCATAGTTGATGAACTATCCTGTGCATCACTTTTTGAAATTGATATAGACATAAGTGCAAGAAAAACAATTTTGACGATTATAATACTGAATGGAAATATCATTGTTGTTTCTTTTGAAAAAAAATTAAACATGATATTATGAACAAAAAGCTAGTAAAAATATTTAAGAAATAAAACTATTTAATAAAGAGTTTGAAACAAATTGAGTAAAATTGAGTAAAGCAATCGTGACATTCCAGAGAAATGTTGTTTTTATCGTGTTAAAAATCTTAATGCACTGTTTAACGGCCAATTAGGTGGAGATGTGCGAAATTTTGTAATGCGAGAGCATAAAATTCTGTAAGTAATATTTAAAAAAATGATGAAAATATTCAGACAATATGCTAAAATGCTTTGCAACCAAGCAAAATGCGAGTATTTTTCATAATTTTCGCTTTCTGCTTTTCGGAAATCAATTTTCGAGTTGATTTTCTCAATCACTTTATAGTAGATACTATTTTAAAGATAAATACCATCTTTGCGAATATCGCTTTTAATAAAAGTTTTCTTAAAGAATTTTTAATTTTAGCATTAAATATTTAAAGAAAAAAGTATTTATGATAACAATCGAGTAGGAATATTGATTGAGAACAGAAAATCAATTTTTATTAATTAAAAGTTGGATGTTTTCTTTTAATATCTTCGTGCCATGATAAAAACATGGTGTAAACCATGCAATTCTACAGATTCTAAAGAATGTTGATTCGGGAAAAGCAATTGTATGAAATAGCAATGTAATTGCAGATAAATACTAAATACAGTATCGGTTTTATGAGGTAAAGGTTGTCTACTTTGCTGAAGTAAGAATAGCAAATTTTTAGAACACTCGAAAATTTCATACAAAATGAAAAGTTTATTAAAAAGAAAAGTATTTTTTCTATAAATGATACTTACATTTATTTTTCAAATAGTTATTTTCGATATAGAAATATGAAGACAATTTTGTCATGCAGGCAAGTATTTTGCCTCCCATTTTATAGTCAATTTTTCATGTACAATATTAAGATACGTCATCGATATCTATTGAAAACAAACTAAAGGTATTCTATTAGTCGAGAATAAGGTACTGCGCCAATACACGATGAGTAAATATCTTTCGTCGTCACTTTTTTGTCTTAGGTCTGAAGTACACTAAACGTGAAATAATTACAGACTTGAGTACCTTCACGCTGTATTCCCTATTCCCTATTACCGTTTTACTCTTTTCTGCGCATTTATTTTTCGTAATTACTGAAGCTTGACATAAAAGAAAAGAATACTTGACAAAAATATTTGTATCAGAAGTTCTTGTTTTTTTTCAAAAACTCCTTTTATTTTTTGCTAGTAGGTACAGCAGTTTTATTAAGTACTCGTATGAAATTTGGTATGATGCGGTAAAGAAAACTGAAGCATAGAATGTGAAGAGACAACATTGTAGGAAAAATAATCAACCAGAAAAAAGATCACGTAAACAACAAAACTGAAAACGACAACAAAAAAAGCAAAATGAACGCTTTCATATGAATGTCTTCATAAGTTTTTAAAATTTTCATCATATATCTTTAACGGCTAATGATAAAAAGATAATAACCATAAATAGTAGTGGCATATTTATCAATTCTTGTTGTACATTGCCACTTGAAGGCTTTGCCGTGGTTGTGGTAGTGTTGCTACTTGTTGTAGCTGTAGCTGCAGCAGCTGTTGTAGCTGTAGCGGCTGTTGTAGCTGTAGCGGTTGTTGTAGCTGTAGCTGCAGCTGCAGCGGCTGTTGTAGCTGTAGCGGCTGTTGTAGCTGTAGCGGTTGTTGTAGCTGTAGCTGCAGCTGCAGCGGTTGTTGTAGCTGTAGCTGTAGCTGCAGCTGCAGCGGTTGTTGTAGCTGTAACTGCAGCTGCAGCGGTTGTTGTAGCTGTAGCTGCAGCTGCAGCGGTTGTTGTAGCTGTAGCTGCAGCTGCAGCGGCTGTTGTAGCTGTAGCTGCAGCGGCTGTTGTAGCTGTAGCTGTAGCGGCTGCTGCTGTAGCGGTGGTGGTGGCCGTAGCAATAGTAGTAGTCATGAAGCTTGTCATAGCTTGCATCGAAGTGTCCGTGTCCATTGACCATGTGTCAGACATTTGTGTTGTACTCGCAGTAGTGTTTGCACGAATACCACTCAACAACAACATAAACATGATCAAAGAAGCAACTATATTAACAGGAATTCTTCGGGTCACCATTATGACCTTAACGAAGTAATGCTGAATTTGATCTTAAATATACTGAATAATAGAATTATTTCTATTGGAATAACAATAGCAACTAGTAACTAGTGAAAGATCGACACACTATACATTGAGATGTAAAAGATTTACTGACATATTTCAGAAAGTGCGTTTTAAAACAAGTTTTTTAAGTCATTATATATCTACACATTTCTAAGTTTCTCTCTGACTTCGTTTATTTTTTCTTAAATATAAAAGAAAGTATGTTAGCAGGAATTAACTATTGTATAAATCCTATTTTAAAACTATTATTCGGCAGCAATCTCAGCATGTTCACTATATTTCTATTATCTTACCCTCTCTCTCTCTCTCTCTGCCGCTCCCTATAACTTAGCTTATACTCATTTTACCCCACATATATCCTGGATAGACTATCAAAACCAGTTTGCTTAGAACCAAATCGATAATTTCAAAGTTTTCTTTAGTATGAAAAATAAGCTCGTTTTTTGTTTTCTGACATATTTTCATACTTTTTTCTCATTTATGATCGGTTGATTCTTGATGAAATTATTCTATTTGATCTTTCACTTTTGATAAGATTTACAAGCGATGTGAAGCAAAAGAACGGCAAAAAAGACATTTCTAAAAAAAAACTATCTTTATTTTAGCGTTCATGAAACCCATATAGTTTTTCATTTCCTTCTTTTTTTGACAGAATTTTCTAGCCTAGATAAGTACATAACATGCAAGAGATCCGTGTAATTAATTTCTCTTTTTGCATCTAACAAATGTTAGCCTGAAAAAATAACAGAAAGAGTGTTTTTCTTTCTATCTTCTCTGTTAAATTAGGTTTACCAATCGATTTTATCGGGCAATAAACAACCACAGAATAAGAAGTTTTAAGTAAAACAAAATAACAGAAAAACACGCCGGAAGACTTTAAAGACATAAAATTTTAATCTGTCTAACATAAGAAATTCTAAATTAAAGAGATTCTTTCATGCATTTATATGCATTTATATATACTTCGCTTAACGCGTTGTGTATCAGAAAACATGACTAGATTATGCACACAGAAGATTTTGAAATATATAGCAATTTTTTCACAGTTCTATGAAAGAATAATTTGTTAATCTCAACTTTACTGAGTCGGTTCGATATTAATTTATAGTTGGAAAAAATTAATCAATAACATCATGTTTTTCAATACAATCCATACCGTCTTTACATAATCCCGAGATAAAATTCTGTTAATATGTTGTTCAATCATTGGGATGGAAAACTTGATGAATTTTCATCGATTGCTTTTGTTTTAGATTAGCAAAGAGGTAAGCATTTCTTTAATATTTAAATTGCTGCGAAGATTGATTAGAAAAACTGAGAATCTTTGCAATAAAAATTCACAAAATGTTTTTTTTCTTGTGATTATAATGGTCTCTTCTCGATCTAAACAACCAATATTCTTCCAAAGCAAATTTTCTAACTGCCAATCCTTTTATGCTTCAAGCTATGAGTATTCGTTGGTACAATGTTGCCAGTCAAAGTTTGATTTAATTTGTCAGCTATTATTTGTTGCATTTCGAATTTTTTTCCTTGATTTTATGCCTTTTCGCGCATAGATTCGTTGAAAATCTCGATACTGGAATTTTGAATTGAAATTTTATTTCTAGATAGCCCTTATGGTCACTAGAAAAAACGTTTCCGATTTAGAACTGAAATCAACTTGTCATTTCCAAGATATTTACGAGTCACAGTAACACTTCGCTCAGTGTCATTTTCAAAAGAAGAATGTTTCTTTTCAAATGTTGATATTAACATTTACATATATTTGTGCGCAGTTTAATTTTGAAATCATTCAAGCGACCGTGAAGTCTAGCAGTCAACGAAATATCAGCTCAAATTCAAATCATATAGATTCTCACAAATTCTCTGATCATAGAAGGTAGACTGAATAAAATTCTAATAATCCAGCAATTGAAGGTTTGACAGTCAAAGTGAAGACGACATTTTTACCGCTCATGATGAACATTTGAATAGGAAGAAAGTACTTGTCGTCAAAATTAATTGAATATTTAAAAACCCTATTATCGATATTTGGCTAGAGGACTCAATATTCTTTCGCCACATATACAGAAGTAGTAGAAACAAGTAACAAATAATCTTGGCTTTAATACTCATTTATCTACTTCAATCTTATCTAAAATCTCATTTGCTAAAGCTGTGCTGACTTTATATGATCCTTTTGTAGGCGAAGAACCATTTTCACAAAAAAAGCAATTTATTTCTCGCGTTTCAAAAATAGCATATGATCACGTTATAAATATATCTAGAGAGTCACGTAAACGGATATGTATGCTAATTGATCTCTATCAACTATAAACCATCTCAAATGAATAATCAGATGTTCATCACTGCATTAAAAGATAGTTAATGAGAGTACTTCCCGTAGATATTTTCTTCAATGGAAAATAAATTATCAATGATCTGGAAATAAATTGGAATGCCATAATAATAAGCTTCATTTATAAAATAGTGTGGCTATCTTTTTGATAAATTTTCGTTTTTAGAACTATGGAAAACAGTTCGATTCGAGCTACTATGAATATATCAAAAAACGAAGAGTACTGATGTAGCTAAGTATAAAACATAAATATTATATTGATACGTGCCTGCAAAAGGAAATGAGATTCCTTCTAAATCCGGCATGTATGTTTCTTTAGGGGTAATTTTTTTCTCGATGAAATTAATAATATATAATAGTATGTTTTATGTAATAATGACCTTTGAATCAAAAAAGCAAAATAAACCCTAAATGAACTATAAAATCAGTTTTCACGTTTATTTGTTATTAAAGACAGACACAACTGTTTTATAAAGTAGGAACTGATATCTATGTCTCATCTGTTTTTCTCGATGTACACATGTTAGAATTATACAACATTAGTGATGGATTGATCTGACGTGTAAAAAACAGAAGTCATCTTCTTGCCTACTACTAATGGTACAACTTCATCATTTAGAAACAAAAATCATGACCTTCTTCTAGCAATGGCACAAAAGATCTTCACTACTGGGCAAACATGACCGGGTGAGAATTTCCTTCATCTGAAAACATTTTGAATGGCCAATTCAATTGTTCTATTATATTTCATAGCTTTAAAATTACAAAATATCGCTAGACAACCATTGCTATATTCATATTTCTTCGATAGAATAAATTGAATCGAATGATCTTGATTGATGATTGTAAAAAAGACAGAAAATTTGTTTTATTTTCTTTCTATGAAATATTCCATAATGAATATCGTCATTCATTATACAAGAAATTTCAAAAGCAAAGTTTTTTTTCAATCTTAAGTTAAACAATGTTAACTATTTTTCTTTTATGATTTAACGATGAAAATTAATGAATAAATATATTCCGAATTCATGTTCAAATAATCGATTCGTTCAATTATCATTCACTCTTAATAATAACTCATACGATAACATGCTAAAATCAATTCTTTTGAGAGCATTCTTTGTCCATTTCTGCTAAGATAAACAAAATTTTCTATTTCATATTACATCATACGATGTTCTAATCTATCTATCTAATTGTATAGAATAATTTCGCATTCTTTTATGACAGTTTTTTCTGTGTTTTTACAAATGTTCATTGTTTGATGAATGATCGATAAGGAATATTCGTCCGATAAATCTTAATTAAGATGGCAAATAAAAATGAATAAAATTATTTTATATAAGATTTTATTTCGAAATAAATGTCCATGACGGAAAATAAAAGTTTATACTCAAATGAAGAAGAAAAAACTTTCAATTGAAGAATTAAGCAAATCTTGTTGGTACACCCCATAGACCAGCAAGATTAGCTTTTGCTTGTGCTCGTCTTTTTGCTACTTTATCGTAGATATGTTGCGGATTTTCACGATTAGACGTATCAGTTAAGAATTTTCCAAGATCAAAATACATGTAATCTTGGCGTTTAACCATACTCTGATCTCTATCAAGAAGTCCGTCAGATGATTCTTCAGCGATAATTGGATTCGCTAGAATTTGGTGCGAAACTATGATGAGTAGTAACTAAATAATCAATATAAAAATCGAAAGCAACAAAGATTAAAAACTAAAAAGAAAGCTTTTTTACCTGTATAGAGATTAGTTGAATAAAAGTCATTGTTTGTTTTGCTTTTAGCTGTTTTGATCAGGATTCGTAAATGAACTGCAATGCATTTCAAGCAAATATGCTTGCTTTTATAGTAAAAAAAATGAGAATCTTTAGCTGCGTAAATCCGATATTAAATAAGATTTTTTTTGTTTAAATCAAAATCTTAACACTATTAAAGATAACGGAAATTATATACGTAAGAGAAAATAACAAAATAACATTCGACAATTTGTTATTAATTTGAAAGTTTCGAACTAGTTCTAAGAGTAATATCATATATATATATATATATATATATATATACCACTGCGCTGCAAAAATTGACTTTTCAGAATTGTAATATTTCTAAAAGATTAAACGTACTTAAAATCTCAATTATAATAAACGAAAATATTGAAATTGATTTACAAGAAGCCCATCAGCTACTTGCTATAGACACAAGAAAATGCAATATCATTTGTTTGATTTCTAGTTTATTAGTTAATAATATAAAAATAAATATTTATCGTTCGCTTTTGAAAAAAATTCAAATGAAATGCTCTGTCAACATCCAAAATGTTTTCATTTATTATTCTTATTCAATTGTCTTTTTATATTTTAAAATTGAATATTACCTTCCCGATGACGAAATTCCTTCTGAAATATTTGCATGATGCTTAATAGATTTTATTTGTATGAACGTCACTATTCATCGTAATTATTTCTTGATTACGTATAGCTTTATACTCTAGTAGTATAAAGAAGAAAACAAATTATATAAAATTACAATTTTCTTCTGTCAGGTGTTAACATATGATGATTATATGCATTTTGCTTGTTTGCTATTCCCATACCAAAAAGAAAAAAAAAAGAAAGAGGTTGACCGATCTTACTCAAGTAGTAATGACAAACAGAACAGTTAAAGAAAGAAGAAATGTTGACTACTCTCAACAATCTTCATCATCATCATCTTCTTCTTCTTGTTCATTTGCATTTATAGTATAGAAATCGTTATTGTATAGTGAACAGCTGTTGAGCTTCCATATGTATATGAGATGAACAGTAATATTAAGAAAGTAGATAAACAAAAATAAAAATAAACTAAGAGCAACCTTTTTCTGGATCAGCATGACATCGGTCATCTTCCATCGACTTGTGATAAGAGGATGTGATGAGGTGATGATTAGTCGTCAAAATTTGTCTAGCAGACGAATGCCAGTCTGGTGATAGAGAACGGCGGGCGTCTACTGTTATCATTCTTTCTTTCATCATACTTGATTGAGTGTTATTCATTTTGGCATATGATACTGGATAATTCAATCTTCACTTTTTTCTATCAAAAAAAGTGTTGAAAACATATGTAATAATAATGAAATTCAGCAAGACCGTTTTTAATCACTGTATATTTAATGATACGCGAAAAATCGGTCGCCTTAGGTACAATTTATGTATATATATATATATATATGTATATATACAGCTTTTTTTAGTGGCATATTATTAATCGTCCAGAACAGCGTTCATTACCGTCGCCATTTTCGAAAGAACGATCGTTGTTGTTGTTTCTACTATTGCTTTCTCTATCTCACGGTTGATTACGTAACTCGACGTGTAATTGCTCTGCATGAAACAATCTTGGGCCCATACAAACAGTACGGTCTTCTTTTCTCACAGCAATCAATTCAAGTTCTTTTGTTGCTCTCAATTGCAATGAATAGTCTAATGAAGGTGAAACAGAAGCGAACGAAAGGCATACATCTAGTCAACGGAAATAATAGGGATTTAGAGTCTTTTCTTTCTTGTTAAAGGAAATCGCGCGTGTACAATATGACGATGATAATTGCAAGGAGACAATCGACCACTTTGTTCTTCCGACCAGAACAGTTATGAACTATCAGACTCGTTTGTCATTTAGTCGCCTTGTGTCTTCTTCTTTCTTTCTGTCTCATAGGGTCTTTTTTTCTCAATATACATTATAAATATATATATATATATATATATGACGCATTGAGATAATTGCTCTTTGTTGTATACAAGATGGTAAAAGAAAGGGGCGTAGACCAATATCAATTGATATTATGCATGTAGGGATTTCTTTATCTTTGATGCAACAGAAAAGAATCTCTGCTTATGCTTTTGTGATATACCAAAAAGAAGAATAAGAAAAAATAGAAGGTAAGGGTATTGATTTAATAATGCAACTGATTAGAATAGAAAAGTAGACCTTGTACATGTCGATCGGATAAAAAGAAGAAGAGGAAGAATAAGAGTTGTATACACACAATTGCATACACTCATAAAAATAGTTTGAAAAGGTCGCTTGTTCGGCACTAATGTGTTCTTCAATAAGTAAGTCAGAGTACAGTTGAATATGGACACACGCTGCGACCACTAAATATCTCACAATAGATTTTTTTTCTCTCTATATAAGATGAAGGACAATGGCGGGCCGTATGACCTTCATTCAATACTGGAACAATTCTCGAAAAACGTTAAGTGTCAAAAAATCATTTTCTTCGTCGTTATTTTTCTCATTGCCTGTTATTACATAATTTTCATCTAGAAAAGAAACTGACTGACATCGGTTAATCAGAATTAGCGGTCTGGCAGCATTCCTATGACATCTGAAGTGTAAAGAGATAATAACCTTGGATATTGTTGGCTAAATACAAGCTTAAAATAAAGCAAATGACACGATATACTGTCGAAGCATTTTCAGAAGCTTTTATTCGTGCTCATTTCTTTCTTGCTCATTTAATAATCGCATATATATGTATATGAATATTTCATAAGTATATAGAAATGCATATAGATTTAAACTTGTATTGCTCCTGTCTGAATTGATTCTTTTCGCAGGTTTAAATCTTGAACAGTAAAAAGTAAGCTAATATGCTTAAGGATAGTTAAATTGTTTGCATTTGCATTGAAGGTGAAGCAAATGTTGATTTTTAGCATTTTGTTGAATAGGAATAATAAAAAAATTCAATCACTTTTTGCCGACTTGTTTCTTCATAGATCTCGTTGTATTACATATATCATGGGTACCAAACCAGATTTTTTTCTTTCCATTATTTTCTTCATCATTTTTTTTTGTCATGTCTGAGTTTTTTTCTTCTCTGTTTTTTATGTTCACCATACTCTATCACAAACTTAAAAATGTAAGTAAGTGAGCTCATAATGCTTTTGACCAGAGGTCAGCAGCAGCATGACGCACGACTCAAACACTTATAGGAGAGTGGGCGAACACAACGAAGAGAAGAAAAAGACGTTGCACCAGCACTACAGTAGCAAGAATAGGAAGAGAACAAGAAGAAAGAATTCTTCTATTCAGTCTCCTTCTCTCTTTCCCTCTGACTCTCTGCCTCTCTCTCTCTCTCTCTCTCTCTCTCTCTGTCTCTACGCTTGTACATGCATCATGTCCACGTACAATTCATCGTCAGTAAAGATATAGATAGGCACAGCAGTAAGACAGATACAATCAGTCATCCAGCTGGAGGTACCATCAAGTATGTTATATTACGTGAAGAACACGAGAAATAGTCTCCAAAGATGTGTTTTATCGTTATTGTCTGTTTTCCTTTCCCAAATGAAATATTTATTAGAAGTACACCGATGAAAAAGTAAAAGAAGTATTGAAGCCTTAAAGATCACATCTTTCAACTTTTACGATTACGACACACAAGTTTCAAGTTGTTGTCACACGAGATTGAATAAAACAATGAATACGTTTTGAATTTTTCGACCACTATATGCGATAAGATTACCCTTCGAGCTATCAAAATCGATGAAATCATTGAATATCAATACTCTTCAACTCATTGTGTCATCATATCGGAATCAAAAAAAAATATGTTTCGACATACCGAAAAGAAGTTTCTATTTTTGTAAATTTTAGTATGGCTTCAAACCGTTTTGGATATTTATGTGAAAAATCTTTACATTTACATCGTATGAATGATTGTGATGATCTTAATTTATATTATCGAAAATTTCTAAATAAATTAAGTAAGATATGTTTAAAAATTTTCCTTCCATTATTACCATTGATTTATCTATTATCATTGTTTCTTTGCCGTTTATTATTACATAATCAATTAATAATAATATTTGATATTCGTACAATCATTTTTTTAATATGCATCTTTTTAACATTCATTTTATTATTTCTTATACGTTTACATACGAAATGGAAAACACTTTGGTTTTTTACAAGATGTTTTTTAATAATTCTGTTGATCCTTCCATTAATTTTAACTTATAAAACTGAACAATATCATATATTACTTTCGACAATATCAATAACACTTATTTATTCATTATTAACATTTACATTGATACAATCGTTCATTATTTGTTTGAGCATATCAATATTACATGTATGCCTTTTGTTAAATCAAAAAAACCAAATCCAATGGAATAGTTTAGAATTTTTATCCATCGTTTTTTATCATTTTATTATTAATATAGCTGGTCTATATACATATATTAGATCAATAAAACATATACGCGAACATTTTCATGCATATGAAATTAATTTATATGAGAAAAATAAATTAAATGTTGATTGTAAAAAGTTAAATACAATCATTGGACATTGCCAACAAGCACAACGTTTTATTGGACGCATGTCAAAATTATCCAGTGGGTTTAACACGAAGTAAGATAGATTTTTTGATTTTTGTTCATTCAATAGAAGTAGGTTTTTGTTTTAAATGTAAGAACATAAAATAAAAGGGTAAATGAACAACATATTGGAATGATGTATATGATCATGACATTTCCTTATGATATTTTAGTCAATCGACCTTTTAATCGAAACGAATCTCAATTAGGATGCATTTTTTTTTTCTTCGTCCCTAGTACTTTTTATAGCACATTTGCATCATCTGTAATTGTCTTAATGAAAAGCAATTATCAAAAAAGACGTTTTAATATATTTTGGTTAGGCGGATGACTTAATTCTCAGTATTATGATTATTATTATTCTGTTAGAAATTATCGTACGTTAATATAAAAGTTTTCTTTATAATTGTTATTGATATAAAGGGCAAAAACGATCATTGTATCAATGGATATCGAAAGACATGACAAGTTTATAAACAGATAACAAAATGTTGAGTATATATTACATAATAGGAACAATGAGTTTTGAATTATCCTAATGTTCTTTTCACATATATATATATATATATTTATGTAATATATCTTTCAGAGAAAGAAAGAATGTTTGTTTTCACAACATGCGTCTCTAGTGAACAAAATATTTCAAAACTTATCTTATTCTTGATTGTTAATTATAGATATAAATGCAAACTAAAGACTGTTGCTAATTCTTAGAACAATTAGTATAATCAGTTTGTTACGATACTATAAGACAGATGTATAAGTCTTGGCAATCATTATTTATGTTTCATATCATCTATACGGAGAGAAATAAACCATGTTACTCGTAAGATAAAAGAATACATGAACAGAACCTTGTAAATAGAAATCAAGTTACAGCTAGTCTGTTCTGAATCATTGTTTATTTAGCGTGTAAATCAAAGGAGTATCGCTCATTTGAAGATCGAATTCGTCCTTGGCGATTTTCCTATTACTGTAACACATTCGAGGTGTGTCTATGCTCCCAAGAAAAAAATGCATTTAGCCTCACGGAACTTTATATCAATTCTTGAAAAGAAAAGAAAATCTGGATAAAACATAACAGTTAATAAAAAAAACCTTGAGTCAGAAAAAAAAGACTCAAAAATCATTTCAGCTAGAAGGTTTTGCTATATTTATGCTTCGGTTGTGTCAATACACTAAAGGCAACACAATCCATGCATATAAGTGGAAATAATTGAATAGTTTTGATAATAAATTGACTCTTTCATAATTATAAATCTAAGTTAACTTTTTTCTATGCCTTAAACTAATCAATATACATTTAAGTATGTTTTTTTAGGTAAGTTACAAAATCTTTGTTTGTTTGTTTTGTATATAAATGAAACTGATCTTATCTTCTAGTATTATTTCTAGTAATCAATCAAATAATACCAGTCGAAAAAATGGAACTGTAATTAATTGCAATTTATCTTTAAATGAACAAACACGTATTCATACATGTGATGAATTAGCATCTTTATTTGATGTACTCTATTGTCAAATTGAACAGCTGATTTTTAAACAACAACCGCAAGCAAAATACTATTTTGATAATGAAACCATTACAATTATTCTTTTAAACGATAATGACAATGAACAAATCAACATCGACAATAGTTGTCGTTTAGCAATAGAATTATTTCGTTTTATTCAACATGTCAATCATGTAACACAATGGTGTTTGACATCTACCATTGGCATTGATTATAATGAATTAAATATTTTATCGTCAGATGTTATTGAAGGTTTAGCTTATGATTATGCTCAATGGTTACGTGAAGAATGTCTTATTAATAATCGTATACATGTATCATCAAGAATATATAATTCATTAAAAGATAATAAATTTTATGAATTTCATTCTTATACATGGTTAACAAATAAAACTTTTACAGAAAATAGTTTAACATATTTTCTATTCAGTACAAATATGTATGAATCAAATAAAAGTCATTTAACATCGATAAGTAACTCTAGTATGATTGATCAATTAACACGTATTCAAGCACAATATCATGTCGAAAGACACTTAGGTACAATAACTTTAACACGCTCATTACGTAAGAGAAGTTTAATAGAATTAACAGCAAAACACATTCATTGGTTCAGTTTAAATTTTAAACAACAATATTTATCGAATAATCAAAATTTTGATCGAGATTTTCAAATGACACACCGTGCAAATCGTCCACGTTTTTTTATTTATGTTTTTATACTATTAATTTTAGCTGGATCATTACTTCAATCACTTGTTGTTGATCATTTAACATTGTATTATTTAATTTCATTTCCTTCAGTTATCATTGGACTTGTTCTAATAATTATTATTTTTCTTTATTCAATCAGTTCGGATCAATCACAATTGCAATTTAATAATAATAAAATTAATGGAAAATTTTATGTTTATTTAAATGTATTGATTGTTTTAACTCTATCAACATTATTTATTGTTTCTGTACAATATAATTCAGTACAAAATTATAAATATTTATTCAGTTTAGATGAACAAATGGATACAACAGTAACAACTTTAACAACAAATGAAACATCTAGTCAAATGAACTCCACTTTGAATAATACGATAATCAGGTTAGAAAAAGTAAACTTTATCTATGAATACATAATTCCAAGTAGAGTGCTACGATAATTTCTTGTTTCTCATTGGAAATCGTTATGAATAGTTTTCATGAAACTTTTTTCATTTTATCGTCACTTCACAGAGACACACATAGTCTGTCTAGACTTTCAGATTGTAGCACTTAAAGTTCTTGTAAATTTTGCTGAGATAATCGACTTTCACAAATCGATCTTGAATTAAAGTAAAATATGTCAAGTTAGAAACGATACACTATATGAAATCTAATAAACTTTAAGCCACTAGGTCACAATGTTTAAAATTTGTTTGATGAGTCGCATAATGTTGAAAAATAAAGTTTCCAAAATGATAAGCTACTGATTAATAAACTCATCGAGATTGAAAACCAAGATGCCCACTAGATGCAACGTAGTTCATTATTTGGATATAAAGATCTACTTTAAGATTATTAAATTTTAATTGCTAATAATAGAATAGCTAGCGAAAAATAAAATAAAAATATCCTAAGCCTTTCGGTACATTCTCTTATAAATGTAGAAAATTAGCATTTGTTGGCTACTTTTTATTGAGAAATATACGAAAATAATAAAATTTTTAATAAACAGCAAATATTAAAACTGAATTAAATCAAATTTATGTTATTACCTTGAAAAATAGCCGACTGAATCAAAATCTATTCATTTGAAAGTTTCATGAAAGTATTTTTCAAGATGACTGTTGAATGGGTTACATGAATTTTGATCCGGTGATAATAAGTTCATACACTATTTAGTGCTCAACAGTCTATTGTGATCATATCAGAAGTGATACTAATAAAGTGAAAAGCAATGTGATCAATAGTAGTTCTATACGATCGTCCCCCTGGTCCACTTGTAATTAATACCATACTTTGATTTTTTTATTTCGCGTAAATTGAGTTTTCTTTGTTGCACTCGGGGGGGGGGGGGGGGGGGGGGGGGGGGGGGGGGGGGGGGGGGGGGGGGGGGGGGGGGGGGGGGGGGGGGGGGGGGGGGGGGGGGGGGGGGGGGGTGGTGGTGGGGGGGGGGTG